TTAGCAGTATATTTGATTGTTAATATTCTGTTTAATATTATTTGTGATGTGTCAGTTTTTGGGATAGATGCTGTTAGTCACTGCCTAGATTAATCTGATTAAAGATGAAATGGAATCTGGATTTATTCTGCATAATCCAATACAAAATATGCACAAATATTTGATGATCATACTGTATTTACATAATTTGACATAACCATCTCCTACTACCATTTATAATCCAATCTGATTTATGAAAGGACCTTGATCAGATTTTTTTTAGTTTCTCACTTGAAGCTAACCCCTGTTTAGAAATGTTAGACAAAAAGAACATATCTTTTCAAAACTAAATTACTTTTTCCCTAGACAATTATAAATGTCAAGTTTAAAGTTTTTTCAGACTTTCAGACTTTCTTCCAGAAGAAAAGAAGCAGTTTCATATTCGGGAAGAAATTTAAACATTTTTAATGTGGTGGTGAGAGACTGGTTTCAATCTCAGTAGCCATCTGGGGTTTTCTAGGCAACCAGAATGTTAGGCCTCTGAAAGGCCTTGTTTGTAAATACTGTACATAAAGTAACTTGTGTTTTGTATGTTTGTTGTGTGTAATGTAGTTGTGTTTTGACATTTTAATAAAGCTGTGCCAGAGAATAAAGAATTTATGTGCCTCCAATTTTATCAACCTCTCAGGCACTGTATATAAGAAATCACTTATAAGTTGGGGGTTATGAATAATTATTTTATTTATTGACTAAACCGCTTGGTCAAATCCTGATTTTCACCAGTTTCGTTACCCTCATATTGTAACAATATTTTAATATTTGGGGAAAAATATAAAGCTAGTGGCTTAGAAACATAAGGTTTGAAGAACATAGACAAGTTCCTCCTTATGTAAAGTCTAAAGCCAGAGAATTTTATCACTGTAAAATTAAACGTTTCCTAAATTAACAATAATCCTAAGAGTGTAAAGAGCATTCTTGTGTGACATGCGGCATTCATTATGCGTCAGAAGTCCCACTACCCCGTAGTACAAGTGAAAAATTATTCATCTGTATGGAAATTTAGAGAGATAAATTCTGTGAATGCAAACTGGAATTAAGCCTTGGCTCCATAACATATATAAAACATTTATAAAAAACGCAATGGGATCTTTAGTGATATAGAAGTAAGAACCCCAGGTTATTTTCTCATCAGAAGGAAAGTACTGTACCTCCTACAACAGGTCACATACTGTACACCTCCTACACCATGCATACAAACCATATGGCACTGGTTTGGAAATTCTGATCCAGAAGAAAAGTGCTTCCTACAGGTCCCCTGTCACCTCTTCCAACAGTAACCTCCCTTTCCTCACAGGTCTCCCATCACAGTGTAGACCAAGTTCAGCCTTCCTTTTCTAGTGAGATTAGACACGTTTAGATGGCAATGTTGCTGATCGTCACCTACTGGTCCACCAGCTCCACTTACAACAACAACCTTGTTGTCCTGAGGTGTTTCCTTATCTTGAAACAATTATGATTCACAGAAATACTGGACTTTTTGCTCTGCATGAAGATGTTCTTTTTCAGTTGGCTAAGATAAATATGCAACTTTAAAACAGTAACTTTAAAGCTAGAAAGTGAGCCTTGGCATTTTTCACTTTGTACTCCTTGTACTGGGGGCAATGTAGCATCGCGGGTAAGTCTCTGGACTAACAAGAAAATTAAAAATATTCCCTGAATTTATAATAATCATAAGAGTGTGAAGAGTTTTCCTGGGTGATTTGTGGCAGACGGTATGCGTCACTACACGCCAAATCAAATGAAAAATTATTCATGAAAAAATGAATCAAGAGGGAAATTTAGGGAATTTACAGTGACTGCGTGAAGCCAAACTGAAATTTAGCCAGGTGTGCAGTCCCTGCAAACAGGTGAGGTACCTTTCCCCAAGTTGCTCCAGTCCACCTTACTGTTTAATTGTGGCCAATCCATCCTTTATCACTTCAGTGGATTCACTTGTGTCCCTTCTGGGAAAGGGTGGATAATCATGTGCTGTATCATCCACTTGATATCAAAGAAAACAGGATATGCTCTGTCCCAATGAGTCAATGTGGCACTTACAGTATATGGAAATGACTTACCTAACTACTCCTTTTATTAGCACAGTTTCTTTTAATTCTTTTAATTTTATACAACAAATCCAGTTCACGTCTCATGTTTAGACAAACGCTATGGTAATCTTGTCCGTGTTCAAGAGGTTTGTGTCACTTGTTAATCACAGCAGTTGGCAGAGGCTAAAGATATAATCTGTGAAAACGTTTGCTGTGGGATGTTTCTCTATGCATTACAGCAGCAGGATTGTTTCTCCCTTTTTATCAGACCATCAGCATGCTTAGCAGACTTTCATCCATAGCCAGTGTCAACAACAGTGACTGCAAAAAGGATTTGATGCATGTGTATGGTGAACTGAGAAATTCAGAGTTGTTTTCTTTGGTTGACTGAATTAAGCTTGTGGTCTACTTTTTGAAAAAAAGGAAAGAACGTCTTCTCTCAAGTAATTGCTATATATCCCTCCAAAACTTAACTGAACATATTCCTTTGTTGTGGGTGGCAAGGTGGTGCAGTAGTGAGTACTGTTGCCTTGCTGCAGTGGGACTCTGGGTGCAATTCTGGACCCGGGAGCTATTTTCATGGAATATTCCCATGTTTGTGTGGCATACTGGTATAGTGGTATACATGGCATACTGGTAAGGTGAATTGGCTTCTGGGAAAACTGACCCTGGTGTGAATGGGTGCATGTCTGTTTCTGTGTTTGCCCCTCGATGGACTGACATCCTGTCCCACACAAACTTAAATTGGATGAAAATGGATGGATATACACAGTATATAAGAAATCTTGATCCCAACTTTATATGTGCAAAATAGAAGTCTTTAAGACTTAAAGTGCCCTATTTCTAAATGCCTCTGAATAATCAAAGACTAATTAAATGTGTTTGATCAATCATCTCATGTTATTTTTTTATGTGATTAGTTAATTTTACCTCTAAGCTACTATCTGTTTAATCAACTGAACTAATTATTATGATGTCATTTATCTTCTCTTTTACAGCCTGGCCATGATTCTTGTGTTGCCGTTTATGTGTTGATATCAGATATGGGTCAGATCTTTTCTGTGGTGTTTACAAAAAAAACAGAGCATGATTACTAAGAGGATATGGAAGGGGAGAGGAAGAAGGAAATTTGAAGACTATTGGGAAGGGATTTAATTGTATTATATAGTATGTGTTGTATCCTACACTATATACTAGGTGCAAAAACAATCAGAAATGACTTATTTTATAGGGTTCAAGAAGGCAGTCTTTATTCTTGGCTTTAAGGCCCCTATGAATCATTTTAAAAATGGGACATTGGAAGCAAACATTATCACATCAAACTCTGAAGGTTATAACTCTCTAGGGAGCATAGCATTTTCTCTTTGGGTCTATAAAAGGTAACAAATATATAGTGTGGCATCAACAATTTTATTTTGAATAAAAAATTGATTTTCATTTTCTTTGTGGCTTAGTACTCTGCTTGGGACACTTACATACAGTGTGGCAATATTCTGACTCAATTAAAAATATTATATTCATTTTAAGACCAGAAAATGTGCATGCTGTTTGTGCATGATAGATGTACGTGATAGATGTGCATGATGTTTCCCTCACATATACTGTATGCTGAAAAACAAGTTGGGATATTTAAATGAAATCTGGGTTGCCAAGAAATCTTTTAGAAAATGTATTGATTTAAAAAAATCTAGATTGTTAGCATGGTATTACACAAAGTTGAGGTTGGATATTCACAGTTTCCTAAAGGTACCATTAGATGAATTAAATGAATGATTGTGTAGACATGTTAGAGCATCTCACCTTCTTTTTTCTTCACCCACAATTCTCAGGGGCTTACAAATGTACATTACAGTACATTTTATCAGTCTTTCCCAACCAGGGCTCCAAGATCTTTTGGGGTCCTTGCACTGGACCTTTTTTCCAAGTCATGCTTCCGTGCATAGCTCATCTTCTCTACCAGTTCTTTTTGAGCTCCAATTCTGCTTTTAGATTTTATAATTAATTGTACTAGGACTAGAGTTCATTTTCAGTTTTTAGTTTAATTGGGGCTCTATATTGAGGAGAACCTCATAAAAATGGGTGCTGTAAAAGGTAATTAGGTAATTAGTCAGAAACCTACTTTGAAGGATCCCTGCATCAGAGAAATCACCATGTAAATCATAGCAAGTGGGAAATTAATAGCAAAGCACATCTGATTTACTGCTTTTCTCTTTTAAAGGGATTAGTTATAGGAAAACTTAAAGTGTAAGTTACAGATGAGTTTACACGAAGAGATAAGATTTTAAAAAATATAGGGAGCATATCCATGCTACATATAAAAATGAATTTACTTCTCGTTGATGAAGTACGAAGTACAATTGTTTTAAGGGTATCATGACATCACCACATAGTGATTTATCAGTATATGGTCCATAATGTTAAGCAAGTCACAATGTCAAATTACTGATTCTCAAATATTATTATTTGTTTTTGCTAATCAATTAGCTGGGCAGTTATCACAACAAATTTAAGATTTCCAGATTTTGTCCACTTGTTAAACCTTTAATCACGAACTTCATCTGAAACATGATTTACAAAATATCTAAATATTCCCAGCTTGGCAAATAATAATGTGGGAGCAAATAATCGAATACCCTATAATTCCCAGTGACTGAAGTGTAGGATCTGGTTTATAGCTGTGAAGCCTGCTTTCTCTTTTAGTTTTCATTAAGTCTTATTTTTTTAGGTCTGATTGACAGGCACCTGACTCACTTTCCTAAACCCGTTTTTGAGGTTATCAGATCTCCTCCCTGATTCTTCACCTCAGTTCTATTATAACACCACTAAAATGTTTTGGTCAAAAAGATATGTGAACCACAATTCTTGTATATCTCTACAATTTACATAGATGCAAAATCGATTACGTTGTTAATGTCTTTCTTTTTTTCTGTAAAGGCAGATGGATGTGGCTGAGTTTTCCTGGAGGTGTGAAACAAATAAGCAAAGGATGAGACAGAGTGGATGCAAAACCAAAATGCAGGGCTCATGTTTAATGAAGTGGTCACTGCACAAAGAGGTAAGTGTTCTTTCCTGTACTGCACTGCCTGCCAATGATAGCAGAATAAACAGGGGAGAAGAATAAAGATATACAGTGCTCTCCAGTTCATAACCCCAATACAATAGGAACAAGACACATCAAATAGCAGAATGAATTACAGATTGGATCATGTGTGAGGCTATAACATCTATAAAGGTTATACCATAATCATAATAGCATTACACAGAGCATAGACATATTTGTAATAAATATTGTATGATTGGACCTGTTTGTATTGATTATCAATATAAAGAAAGTCATTTACACGGTTTGTTGGTGTAATTCTGCTTCGCCTGTGTTCAGGTGAAGGCCTTGAAATAAAAACATTTTTGAATACAGTGAAAGAAAATGTGTTAGATTATTTTTTTTCCATCTGCACTGCATGACCTTTATGGATCAAGACTGATCCTTCCACTGTTTTGTAGAGGTGGAATTAACATCGTTATACAGTAAATTGTGACATTTAGTGGTGAAGGGGAGGTAATAATGATGATATTGAAAAATTAATAGATGCTTCCATTTATACTTTAAAAAATAAACCATCTCATTTTTGGCTTAAGTTCTTGATTTTAAAATATTTTCTTTGAGGTAACAGAATGGAATGCACTGCAATAGCAAATATTTTTAGTGAATGCCATCTGGTTCATACATAGTCACTCAAAGAATTATGGGCCATAAAAAGGAAATCACTAATTTCTAATTAAAGAGCCTTAGATGTTCAGTTCGGGGTGCACATAAGCTCTTTTCCATGTTCATAAAGATTTATGGAGGTTACCTTTTTATTTTAGGTGTTGATGAACTACAAGACAGAAACTGGAAACTCAAACCTCTAGTTACACGTGGAGAGTGGGAATTTTTTCTCTTGTTTTCCCATTCCTCTCGAAGAAGTGCACAACTCTTGATCTCTCTGAGCTCCATTTCCACGCATGGAGAATTTGCCTCCCCATGAAGACCTGAAGTGAGAACTCTTCTGTCTCCTCGGTTAGACCCTTGCAATGGTCAAGAAGATACTTGGATGATGAGCAGTACTAGTAGTACTGGGATATTTAGTAGTCTAAGTACAGTAACTCTGGATGCAGCATTACACAGCAGCCTCATGGCTTTGCATCTGAACAGCTCTCATATTTCCAACCACAGCTCAGATGGCATGGAGCCTCTCAACAGTTCTGAGCAAATGGAGAAGAATTGGCCTGCCTTGCTGTTTTTAATCATTATCATTCTCACCATTGGGGGAAACATTCTCGTGATCCTGGCTGTGTCTCTGGAGAAAAAGCTGCAGAACGCCACCAACTTTTTCTTGAGATCCCTAGCTGTGGCCGATATGCTCGTGGGAATCCTGGTCATGCCAGTCTCCCTCATTAACATTCTGTATGGTAGGTCATGTTCTCTTTTTTATTATCACCTTTAAAAGGTCACTGCTAATAGATCATTACAGATGGCCTTTGCATCATTTGCATAATGAAGTTCCAAATGCATATACTCACATGACTGCGTCATCAACAGATGGTAAATGGGTATATGAGCTCAATAAACCCATTTAGCCCTATGCCATAAAGCCAACATACAAATTAATGTCAAAGATTGTACAGCGCCTTGCAAGAGTATTTATTCCTTCCAATGATTTCCAATCCAACTTCCTATTACTCTATGGAAGAGCTCTATGGGCAACGCAAGAGCCCTTTTTACATCTATTGCATGGACTACCATTAATTTCAGGAATGCCAATTAATAAAAACATAAGAAACGTTATAAACAAGAGGAAGGTGTGCAATCTATCTAGCCCTTTCGGTAGTTAGTAGTTAATAGATCCGAAGATCCCATTTCATGAAAGAAGCCAGAATATTGGCTTCAACAACGTGGCTGAATATCTTGTTCCATACTGCCACAGCCCTTTGGGTAAAGAACTGCCTCCTGTTCTCAGTTTTTATACAGCAAGCAATGCCAACTTGTTCCCAATTGTGCCCTCTGTTTTGTGTTTCACTGTTCGGTCATGACAATCTAGATTTGTTTAGTATGATCACTTTTGCAGAGTCCATGTTGACTGGCCCCATTAACAGCATTAGTGTACTCTTTGGACTCCTACTGTATGTTTCCCATTATGTATATGTTAAGCTGACTGGCCTACAATCAGCTGATTCAGTATTGGTATTATATTAGTAAGGTCTCCTGGATTTTCATCAGCTTTTAAACATTGAGAAAAAAATGTCTGTTAGTGGCTTATAAATTATTGATCACTGTAACAATACTGGTGCATATGCTATAAGGATATGACTGTAAATGCAGTAGGTTTTGCTATTTCACAGCTTTCTATGCTTAAGTGTAAATAATCTATAGCAATGTGGATATTTGCAACATTTTCATTAATAAAGATATCTGTAAAGTAGTTATTCATTTTTAATTATACACAATTTAAGTATGTACTGTATGCTTCTCATGCCTATGTGAACTTTCTTTAGATGTTCATTATATTCACACTTCCAAAGACAGACATAGCCACTCTGATATTCAGTAACATAGTTCTGGGTGCTAGTCTAGATCAAGAAACCACAATACCTCAGGCTCAACCTGTTCTAAATTCTGGAAACCAGTGGTTTCCAATTCTCAGTATTGTGGGTTCTAACCCCCTTATTACAAGAAATCAAAATATGTTTTTTCTCTCCTTGAGGTATTAATATTCCGTACTGAGATATAAGTTTCAAAACTGACAATGAAGACAATGAAAAACAGGAATAAAGGAGTGTTTAGCAACACAAATTCCAACTCAAGGGTACAATCCTGGTGTTCTTTCAGAAGCTTTGAGAGATTTAGAACCTTAAAAGAGAGAATATTCACAGGCAGAGTAAACAAAGTTTACTTTTTTATAACTTTTTCACAGTGTTTAGGTAAGGGGTGGCCATCCTAAAACCCAGAGAAACACACAGTCCGAAAGGCATAATAGGTTACCCTAAAATTACCACCTTCTGAATACTTGGAGCACTTTAATTTTGACTAAGATGGAAGTTTGCATAGTTGAGTAATTTAGAGATCAATTTGAAATGAAAGCATTAACACTCTCAAGGCCTCCAATTGGCTCTCGATTTAACTGAACAGATGAGTTTACTACAGTATGTGGCCTACAGCATAAGAGCTTCTGGACCTTGGATGGCTTCAGGACTAATGGCAGTGTCTATAGTGATGAAAGGGAAGGGAGGTTTCCAGTTTCAGGAGCTTTTCTGACCAGGGTGTCATCTAAACATATTGATATTGGGGTTCATGTATCCCTTGTTTTATTCATTTTCTGAAAACACTCAAAACAAATTCTAAAAAAGTTTAATAATTTCCAAAATAACCCACCGTTATCTGGTTTATTAGAAAATATTTTGGTTTATCCAAGTTGATACTACTTGATGTATTTATGTATCATATATCCTGTATTTATATACTGTACAGTTCAGTGCCAGGAAAAAGTATTTGCCCCCCTACTGATTTCCTCTGTTATTGCACATTTTTTACACTGAATGTTTTCAGGTCTTCAACCAAAATTAAAACATTCAATAAAAGGAACATGAGTGAACAAATAAAACATTTTTTTGCTTATTTAATTTATTAAATGAACAAAGTTATCTAACACCAACTGGCACTGTTGAAAAAGTAATTGCCCCCTAGTTAAATCAACCCAATTAAAGGGATAATTTAAAGTTAGCTGATTGAACACAGCCAGGCTTGATTATAGCCAGTCCTGCTCAATATAAACCTAACTTATTTTGACCCTTACCATCAGAGTCAAGTTGCCAGCACAAAGACTCACCAAACGCATTATGCAAAGATCAAAGGAAAGATCAGAAAAAAAGTTGTTTTTAAGGCTCTGGGACTCCACCAAATCACAGTGAGAGCCATAATCTCCAAATGGAGAAGACTTGAAACAGTAGTGAATCTTCCAAGGGCTCAGCATAAAACCATCTAGGAAGTCACAAAAGATCCTCAAAAAACATCTGAACAACTGCAGGCTTTTCTTGCTTCAGCTAAGGTCAGTGTTCATGACTCCACAATTAGAAAGAGACTGGGCGAAAATGGGCTTCATGGGAAAGTAGCAAGGAGGAAACTACTGCTAACCAAGAAGAACATAAATCCTCACCTCCTCGATTTGCCAAATAGCACCTGGATGATCCTCAAGCCTTTTGGGAGAATGTTCTATGGACAGATAAGTCAAAAGTGGTGTAAAGCAAACACAGCATTCCACAGTATAAACATCATACCAACAGTCAAACATGGTGGTGGTAGTGTGATTGTGTGGGGATCCTTTGCTGCCTCAGGACTTGGATGACTTGCCATAATTAAAGGAACCATCAATTCTGCTCTGTATCAGAAAGTTCTTAAGGAGAATGTCCAGTCATCCGTCCGTGAGCTGAAGCTGAATCGTAGTTGGATCATCCAGCAAGACAAAGATCCAAATCACAAAAGCAAGCCCACATCAGTATGGCTGAAAAGAAGCAAAATTAAAGTTTTGGAGTGACCTAGTCAAAGTCCAGACCTAAACCCAATAGAGATGCTGTGGCAAGATCCGAAACGAGCAGTTCATGCTCGAAAACCTACCAATGTTTCTGAATTAAAGCAGTTCTGTGAAGAAGAGTGGGCTAAAATTCCTCTACAGCAATGTGAAAGAATTATAGGAAGCATTTGGTTGCAGTCATTGCAGCTAAATGTGGCACAACCAATTACTTTTTCACACAGTGAATATGGCTGTTGGATAACTTTGTTAAATAAATAAATGAAATAATAATAAAAAAGTGTTATTTGTTCACTCAGCTTCCCTTTATCTAATACTAGATTTTGTCTAAAGTTCTGAAAACATCCAGGGTGACAATTATGCAATAATAGAGGAAATCAGGAAGGGGGAAATACTTTTTCACAGCATTCTATATCCTCATTCTTCTACGTTTAGAAGAATGGTGGTGTGGTGGTCAATACTTTTGCCTCACTCATTGAATGATGGATTGGTTATGGATTGACCAGAAGAAGCCAGTTTCTGTTCCAGTTTCCTCCCATTTTCCAGAAACAATGGGAGTATATCTGAGCAGGTTTATTGGTGCCTTTATATTGTTTCTATTTGGTGTGTCTCCATGTCCTAAAATGGACCAACATCCCGTCAAGGGCAAAGTCTCATTTTCAACCTTTGTTTCCAGGTCAGGCTGTTGGGTGCCATGACCCCTACAAGAAATAATTATTTTCCAGCCCTTGTGGTACTGTATGAAGGATTTTGAAAAGGAGAATTTCTTTGGACCTGTTTTAAGTCCAAGATCAGATATTTTCTGTGAAATGTTCGTTATTTTCTGATCCAAAACAAGGACATTTAATACAGCTTTCATTTGTCTGTTTAACAGGGATAACCATCTGTCCAGAACCCTTTTAGTAGGATTACTAATGGTCTGTTTGTGGAAAAATTAATCTACACCATTAAATCCCTCACTATTGATTAAATGGTTATGACAAGCCCTCAGGGAAGATCAGAGTTCTTTTAAAATTCCTTTTACTTTAATTCACACATTTTAAGCATTTATTGATTGTGCAGATACTGACACTGATGGATAAACCAGTTTGAAATATAATATAAAAGTGACAGTGATGATAGAAACTGGTGAAGTGGATCGGGTGACTCAGATACAAATACATATATTAGGTTTTTTGCGTATTATCTCCAGCCAGCCTTTGAAAGTAACTATTAGCTCAAACCTGTCACAAAAAGTAGTACAAAACGAAACCATGACTCTCTTTCTCCCATTACTTTTAATACTTGACTCATGCCTTAAAAGAAACATTTTTACAGTATGTCCTTCATGTATGTGTTTTAAATCAACATCTATGCCATCTACAGTAGGTATCAACTTGGCAAACTTATTAATGGGCTAATTTTTTTAGTTTGTATTGTGCATTTTCTGTAACATTCTGTAACAGTGTTTCTGATTAATTCTGTAAAAATATTAATATAATTAGTTTTGAGGGCATCACTAGTTAAAACTTGTTTCCACCCTCTTGGCAGAAAATATAATCAATGCTGAATCAGAAAAAAATAATTTAGGACATGATGCCATTTGTCCAGAACGTTTATTTGTCTTTTTGTTATTGTACAACATGCATCATTTAATACATTTGTCATAAGTCATTCATAAATAATCTGACTGTATTAAATAATTCACAGTGGTCATACACAAGATTAAACCTAATTGAATATTGTGTTGGTAGGACAAGAAGAATATGTCACTCATTCACACTGTATGAATATAAAAATATGTGTAACTTTAGTAAGACAGCACATTGAGTTTTTCTTCATTGGAACGGGTCAGAGCTTACCATTAATATTGTTGTGCCTACTGTGGGTTATAAATCATTTCGAGAA